CAACAGCAACAAAAATATAAAGAAGTCTCTTATTATCGCTGGATTAATTAGCATTAATAAACTAGGGCACAAATATTTTTGACAGGACAGGAAAGCAGGTCATTAACATTGATGGGATGATATAAATGATCTTCCTACGACATTTAGAGCAGACCCGCTCCAAATGATACTCACGGCTTGCAATTATACCACCACTCAAATAGTTCACATCTAACATCCAGTGGAGAATATACAGTATTTGCATACAGGACTGAGACTCCTTTTTGCTCCTCAAATCTAATGCAATTTTAAGAAGAATAAATTGCTAATAATTAAACAAACATGAAACTAAAACCTTTTACTACTATAAAAATTCAAAATTAGGCACAGAAAACCCAGAAGTTTGCAAAGCCTTTTAAAATGGATTTTCTGTTGGAGGCACAACATAAACAATGATTTGCATCAGTGATTATCTTAATTAAACTGCTGTTTACATAAGTAACGTTGATTTACTTTAAATGTTGTTCGGTGTCATTAGACCATTCATTTAACTGTGCAAATTTCCTTTAGCTCCCACCTTCTCCCACCTTCAGCAGTCTGTGAACAGCACCCCTGCTGCAAGAAGTAAATCCAGAGCAAATTTAATACTATACAAGCTTTAGACAAGTTTCTTTGTAGAAACATTACAGAGCACAGTTCAGCCCCTTACCCTGTACTAGTGTGTGATAAGGATTTCACTCTTCAAGTCGGTGTAGCCAAGCTTTCTGATCATGTTGCCTATTACAGACTTGAATAAAAATGCATACTGTGATCCTGTGAAGGGACATGTGCCACCCATGCTATACACGATGCTTTGAATATGTTAAGTAAAAAGAAACTACATTCCCTCCCCCTCTTTTTCTTTTTTTTTTTTTACATTAGATTTCTCACTCGAGGAGGAAAGCTCCCTCCTGATGATACAGTGACCAGCTGGCTAATCTGGTACTGAAGGTCTTCACTAGATCATAAATTCAAGTCAAAAGAGCTACCATTGCTGGGGGGGGAAAAGAAAAAAAGTACGCTGGAAAAACCACCACGATAATTCTGAAATTAGCAGTGACAGATGTTCAGAACAGAAATCAAGATTACTGGCCATCACTACCCCCTGAATTCACTCTGTAGTAATGCTAGAAGAAAGTAAGCTTTGTTTGGTAATATTAAACAGATTTACAGAGGAGTTTAAAATTCTATCTTTCCAAGAAAACAGCTCAGCCACAAACGATTGCATTTGTTCCAGTGTGTCATCAGCCTGGATGATTGCAGTGATCTACTCAAGCCTCAAAATCCATGAGAACAGTACTGCCACACAAACAAAAGCCAAGAGTTAGTATCTTCCGTATTATTTTATTAAATGTTTTAATTTCTTAATTATGAGTGAAACTTGAGTTCCAAATTAAGGATGCCTAAGGAAAATAGGACTACTCTAGGAACCAAAGCTAGGGCAACAAAGGCTCTACATTCTGGCTCCTGCAAAATTCCACCGGGGGGTGGGGAGGGGAAGTCAGTCTGAAACCCTCTTTTTATAACCATGCATTTTTAGCTGGATTTTTTTTTTTTTTAAAGATCAAAAAAGTAAAACAAAACACACACCATATAGCTGATTAGCTGCCTTCTTTAATTTCAGAAAGGGCTACCCAGGCTCTACGTGGTCAGGCAGAGCCAGACACCACTCACCCTCTGGGTTACAGACTGGCTTGAAAACACTCTAACAAAGTAACCACGGAGCCACTTTCAGATTCTCCTCTTGAGAGTCTCCGAGCCATTGACACACATCACCACCCTGCAGAGCAGTCCATGGCTCCAAAGCTTCTATTAATAGTTGCTCGGAAACTCTGCTGTCATCCCACTTGGGCTACAATTGCGCTAACGTAGAAGATTCAGAAGCAGCAAGGAAATGAATGCAGCAAAGCAGGACATTGACCTTTATAGGGATACCTACTGCCTTCAGAATCTTGACATGCAGAATAGGTCTTCTGCACACGAGGTATATGGGATTTGTCCGGCAGCGCTTGCATAACGTCAGGGAAAAGCAGGCGCTGTGCAGTACCCACCCTGTTCATCCCTCCCAAAAGCCTCACGTGTGCCTGTGTCACTTTTTATTCTATTTTAATTCCTTATGTTCTTTGCATCACGGAATAACACAAAGCCTTCCCTCATCTCTACAACAGAAGATATTTCCTCTATTAAAAAAAAAAATCTTTGCATGAATTTAAAGTTTCTGTTTAAACAGTTACATGCACAAAATATTAACCACATACCTCAGTACTTAAATGGCCAGGACAAATTCTTAAAACTAAGAAAAGATCAGTCATACTGTGGAACAATAGCCACTAAGTATGTTTAAGTACGTTCATTTGAACTCATATCACTGCAGATTTCCAATGACTAATTATTGGCAGTGCCAAGATAATTACTAGTGATTGGTGCATGTAAAGACTGGAATTGTGCTGGAAAAATTAACAGATATGTATGGCATGATAAACTGATCTTATACAACTTAGCTGTTATTTCAATATTATATGTCACGTGAAAAGGAGGGGGAAAAAAAAATCAAAACTCCATAAAGATGAGGCAAAATTAAACGAAAAAAAATTCTGAGCTATTAATCTTTCCTGATAAAGTACTTCAGGATGACTTCTAAAACTCACTTTCATTTAGATGCTTCATTTATTTTCATCTAGGAGATAATTAGAGGGAAATCAAATCCATCTCCACAGCAGAATATTTACCTGAGATACAGCTCAGACTTCTCAGTATTTCCCCTGTGTGTTCAAACTCAGTGTTACATGTATCATTAAAACTTTACTTAGATTAATGTCCATTACTTAATTAGCATCAAAACTAGAGTCTACAGTGTTTGCTGCTGGTTAGCTGTCAGAACAGGAATTCTTTCACTTTTTTTTTTTCTATTAATAGGCCAAATTTTGCTTTCCCTGCTGCCAGGCGCAATTAGACTAGAAAAAGCATTACAATGGGTAGGTAAACTACTGTCCAGCTTTCTATTTCCAGTCAATTATTTAGTTATTATCTTTGTCCTGCAAACAGAGGAATGATGCCATTTCTCTGCAGTTGCTGGTAGGAGTGTTTGGAGAGGGAACATGGGAGCACACATTAGAACTGGTTGAAATGCACTGAAACAAGTGAGAGGCAGGACACAAAGCGAAAGCATTGCAAAACCTTTGCTAGCGAAGGCAAGGCAAAAGCAACTGGTGCTCAGTTTCTCTCTCAAATGCTTTTATTTTGGTGTAAATCTCCATAGGTGATCAGAATGAAGTCCTTTACTTGAAGCTCACAGTAAGATCACGTCTCTCTCAAGAAGTTCCATGCACCATCCCCAGTTCAATAAAAAGTACTTGGAAGTAGAAGGGGTAAGTCTCAGCTGAACAGGTGGGCAGTTGTCACACATGAGTTCCTGTATATCCACACAAAAAGTTATCAGAATATTGCCCTTTGCAGCAAGGAACAGGATTGACTTACGGTGAAGACACATCAGCAAGATGCTCTGTTAACCAGATTATCCTGAAAAAACAGCTGCATCACTGATGAATTCTTGCTGTGAAGAGCCAATGGTTTATCTCATCACTGATAATTTAAACCTGTTATAAATTATTTAATACCCAAAATGTATCAGAGAAGAATCCTCAGCTGAATGAGTGTTACACACACACCAGAGTTCTTCAGGAATTTATTTGTAATTATCATTCACCTTTTTTTCCATATCTGATATGTAGTTAATGAATGCCTGACATAACTTCAGCAATAAAAAAAAAGACATGACTACATAATTACAGGTTAAAAAATTATCTTCCTTCAGCTCCATGCACTGAAGTAATTTTAAGGATGAAGGTTAAGTACAGGCAACACACATACCTTGCTTTGCAAGATATTCTGTATACTGACCACAGCAACCCCTATGTGTGGGGCACTGCCTCTGAAAGAATAGTTTGATCTTGTAGTAATATTACAATAAAACAGAACTTTTAAGTATTATCAGTCATGTCTTGTTCACGGGACTCTCTGTCTACAAAAGGACAGCAGTTTGCCCTTGAAATCATTGTAGAACATGAATAACATTTAAGCTTGCCACTAAGTGCCAAGAGAAGAACAAAATCTATATTCTAGTTTGGAGGCAGGCCTATAAGCAAGAATTTCTAGGGACAAAAAAAAAAATCTCCCTTTTATGTCTCCAAGGAACTGCTTAAAACAAGATATTTAATCAGAAAAGAAGATGTTATTTCTCTCAGCCTGATCCCACCACAAGCATTTCTGTGCAAGCTGCTTCAGGCAGTTCCTCTCATTTCTAGATCATAGATTTAACTACGTTTATTATCACAGATCAAGGAAGCAATTTCTAAATACAATATTCATACTTTTCAGCTCCAGCAGGGCAATTCTTTCAGAGTAATTTGTGACTTACAAGCAAATTAATACACAAATTTACATCTCATGACTGTTTTGAATAAAAAAAGAGGCCTCAAGTAAAAGTACAAATGAATAAACCTGAGTTACTAAATTGTCTGCACCAGTTCTGAATCAAAGGTAAGATATTCCAGGGGAACTGACAAAGCTTGATCTACTGTCAGTTTGTGGACCTTTTCAATTCCTTGAGCTAGAGCCCTTGCATGGCTCCTTACACACTGCTGCCATTCCTATAAGAAAGGAGCATGTGAAGTGGTCAGTGCTGAGCTGTGAGAATGCCATTTGGTGGACTTGCTGCTACTAAACAGAAATATAATGAAATGTTTTTTTCCCTGATCTTCCCCTGGCAGATCCACAAATCCAACTACTCTTTTTGTACCACGCCACCAAGTAATATCCTACAAGCTTTTCTGAAAGAGTTAACACTGTGGATGTAAAAGGAGTCACACAGACAGTTGGAAACTCATTGTCCTGGATAAACTAACATAATTGGGAAAAAATGTTTGACTTTTATAATTATTGCAAGGCATTGATAAAAAAAAAATTGAAGTCAACACACTTACTGGACATCTTTTCTCTTTTTTTTCTGAGGGTCCACTAGACGAAGAGTATCTCTGATAACAGCTACTTTCACTTCTTCATCAACAGGGCTTGGGACATTTTCAAATACTCCAGGAGAAAGCTTTAAATTACAAAGGGATACAATTATTCAGAACTAAGGATTATATATTCCACATTTGCTCAAACTTCATGCATATCATATGTTTTAAATACACAATGATAGATTACAAAATACCTCTTATAGAATACACAAATACCTTAACATTTTCAGTATGGTATTACAACAATTTTTGGCAAGTTTCTCTAGTAAACTGAAATATTAAAAAAGAGATTGCTGCCAATGTTACCATTTATATTATGTATACAAACATGAAAAAATTATTAGCAATCCCCTAAACACTATTAAGTCAACTGCAGGGGATGATGAATAAATGTATTTATGACAAAGATGATGGAGAGCTTTCACAATTCCAATAAGTCATATTTCCAGTGTACAAGATTAGCAATGATTTCAAAGCAGAAAATTACAGAGAACCTTGGAGATTTCATATTAACAGACAGTTTTCATCTTTCAAACAAGGAAAAAGACCAGAAAACCAAACCTAAACAATTTAATTCCAGTATCACTATCAGGTTGAAAGATCTTACCTCTTGCTCATGTTCTATTCTCATGCTGGGGTTTGCATTTACTTCTAGTAACATGGGCTTCAAGTTTTTCATCAGGAGAATGTCAAACCCTAAAATCTGTGCATAACAAGCAATGTGTTACTTCCATTCTACTCACGGTGTTCTTCTAGAGAACGCAACAGTCATCCAAATGTCAACATTCAGGAGAAAGAAACATTTGAAGGACAAAAGAGAAATAAACTGAGAAATATATTATATTGCTGAATAATTACTGAAACCATTTGTCTTTGATACTAATGACTACTTTCACACTACCCCCCTCTCTAAATACGGCATCTGTCAACATGGGCACCTATGACAAGTGGGTCTTAAGATTGCTATCATAATAGCTGCGTTAGGAAGCTGCAAAGCTTCATAGTGGTAACATCTAGAAGATGGAAACTGGAGTGAATACTGCTGCTAATGATTGATGCCCATTTGAAATTCTCCATATATGTTTATGGCTAGTAGTAACATAGGTCAGGAGGCTGAGATTTGCAAGGTAAAACTTGGGTGAGGAGAACCTAAGGTCTGAGCTCACGCAATGCTATCCAGTGGATGCACTACATCCAACCAGTGATCAGCAACATAACTAGAAAAAGCTTTTAGAAAAGAAATTAAACATCCAGAAAATTAATCCATGCATAGAAATAACTGCATTCCTGGCAGAAATTCCAACCTACCTGGAAGCAAGTTGGCCCAGGCTTTCCTGCTGGTATGTCAGACTGATAGTAAACTTTCAGTTCTGGTGTCAGTGCAATAATTGTTTTAATCACCAGTGAAATTATATCTGACCACAGCTTTTTGACATCAGCTCCTCTGGAAGACAGTCTGCACAGAATGCTTGAAAAAGTCCTCTTGCTGCCAGTGTTTACATTGTCGGAATGGATGAAATTCCCGCTATGGATATTTAGTGAATAGTTGGTTAAGTGCATAAAAACCTGGTGCAAATTTTTTAGAGTGGGTTCTTGATAGGGCTCTGTACAAAATCTGGAAAGTCCATCTTTGGCTATATAAATCTCTAAGGGTTCTAAAGATTTCAGTAAGACATAAAGACGAATATCAAATTTCAGTTTGTCAACAAGCAGTGGTTTGCAAATATATTCCTGGACAACAGCTGGCCGGCTCTGGATGCTTCCCGTCAGTCTGATGTCACTTGGGTCTTTAATGAGGTAGATTCCATCCCCCTGGCACCCTCCATCAGGTTTTACAATAAAAGTGGGCTTCCAGGATGGATCACTGTCTTTCATCATGCGAACCTAGAATGAAAAGAATTACACTGAAAGACACTAATTGAGGGAGAAGGGCTGATACTATGAAAGCCAACAAACTGCATTCATAAACAAAAATAAATAAAAGTAACATGATCACATCACTATAGTAGTAAACACCGTGCAAAAAAGGTAGAAGATAAACAGTGCTGACAAGCACAAAGACAAACGAAAAAGCATGAATAGGGAATGATTAGCACAGATAAAAGGTCATTTTATTTAACAAGCCGTTGTAGAAATGATTTCAGGAACTTCTTTTTAATGTTATGTACCAATTTACAGAATGAAATGCTCTGTATCTCATGAGATCCATTTTATTAGTCACTAATATGTATGAAATTGCAAAGTTAAACTTTTGTGCTGCATTTTGAACAACTACTGACAAAGATAATCATTAACCTAAGGGAAGGCACCTTATTTATTGAGGTATGAATGCAGACAGACAATACTGGAAGAAGGAAGGATAAAGTAAAAATTTGGCACTGATAATACCTTTTTTCACCACTGAATATTTTCACAATCAGATACCCAGTGTTAGTAAAACTAGGGAATATTGAGCCATGTACAGATATTAAGTAAATACCACAAATTTACTAAACAAAGCATAGATTTTATGCCTCAGTTGCTACCTACCACCATTCCCCAAAATGAAAGGTTTTCTAAATCATACCAGAACTCCCTTCAGGCCTGGCATGCAATTACTACCTTTCTATCCAATGCAAGATAAAGAAAATTCTATCACGATTCAACAACTCTTCTCAGTGGCTTTGATTTGTATTAGGAAGATCTGTTCATAACACATGACAATTCAGATGCTTTCTTTAGATGTACCTAGCGTGAAGTCAGGAAAGCGAGGAAAGTTGGTGGAGAATTTGATGGTGTCTAGTACCAAATCAAAACCTTTGGATGAATCTACAAAGCACTCCATGCCTGGCCTGTCGTTTCCTCAAGCTAGTGCACATGTTCAATCTCTGTTCAGACGTTCACCGCTTCTGTGCTGGTTCAGTGTGAAACACAGTGCGCTCTAGCATACGAGCTCGCAAACAGCCAACACCAATATCTGTGCAGCATAATGCATTTTAATATGCAAAAATGCTTACAAAAGTCACTACACAAGATACATTTCACTTCTTTCACAGAGAAATGCTTCCAGTTTGCAGATTTCTTAAAAAGTTATGTCAAATACTCCTTACTGCTAACCAGTTACATTAATAGAATCATTCTGGAAAACACTTTTTTCCAAAAGACAAACATTGACAACTGAACTTACTATGTATGGGGTGATGGGAGATGCCCCTACCAGAAAGGAAATAGCAGGTAAGAATTTTTGACACCTACTAACACTCTGTGAGCATGTGTATAAAGATCATCAAGACACAGAAACAGCAAGAAAAAAGGGGGGGGGAAGGTTAGCAAACCAGTACCTTTCAGTATCAGTTTCTTTCCACTGTTTGTAGTGCCTTGCCATGAAAGATCTCTGTTTGTTAAAGTCAACTTTAATATTTTGTAAGAATGTTGCTGGAGGTATACAACCTATTTCTGTATTGTTTACAGCAGCGTGGACCTCGATACTCGTGTATCCACTTCCCTGGCTGCTTTGCAGATATCCATGAGTACAGTATAAGCCATTATACCCATATCTTGAGGGTTTTTCCACACTGTGTCCTAGATTCTTGGGGCGTATAAGGGAAATGGTTTACCACAAATAAAAATTATGGTAACAGTGATGGGGAAGTATCCGTGGTTTGTCAAAACCTAACTGTCCTACAGAATCCCAGATGTGGCCTTAGTAAGATGAAACACAAAAGTAAATTATAGAGAATTATAGGATTAGAGAGAGGTGTCTGCATCCTCACACAGAAAGTGAGAAGAATAAAAAGGAAAAAAAAAGTTCTAAAACTCGGATCTAAATCCAAATGTCTCAAATTCAAAATGCAGTTGAATCTGAACTTTTTGCTCAGTCCCACTGTCATTTCTACATACTGACATCAGCAGCTTGATTTCTGGGGCATAAACAGGGCTTGGCACCGTAACAGACAACAGCCTTTTATAGAAACTAGCTTCTGGGAAGCAACAGTAAATATCTTTGGTGGTTTTGGCTTCAACAAACTAATGGGAGTTACATAAAGAAGTAAAAATTAAAAAAAAAAAAAGAGAGAGGGAAACGCCCATTTTTCCTTCCTAAAGAATCAGTTATGTTATCTGTGAGAAAATCAGATAATCCCACCTGGAACAGACTGTTAATAGTTGGCAGTCCAAAACATGATTATTGTAATAAGGTTGTTTTGGCCTTTGACCATGTTAAACCGATACATCCATTTAGCAGGGAATGTCTGGAGGTTAATGTCATTCCCAACTGGATACAGTGAGTCAAAATTAAACATGGCACCAATAACTAATGGCTGGATTCAAATCTGCACTTTTGTAAATAGCATATATTCACTCAAAAATCCTCTCGCTCAAAAAAAAACCCAACCAAAAAACAACCAACTGATATAATTAGGGAATCTTTTTACATCAGATAAAAGAGCAATTACACCATCTAAATTGCCTACAATGCTCACATTCCCAAGAAGCAAACCTAGACTTTGCAAGCTTCAATGCATTTTATTTGAGGATGAAAAAAATCAGGAAGACAGTAAGTAGGTCACTGTAAGGGCCTGACAAATCTGCTGAATATCAGATATTTCATGTTACATGCATATCTCCCACTGCCTAAATAAATTTTAGTTTATTTATTACTTGTATAGCAAAAGAGAACTGCAGAGATTTGGATGCCTCAGTTAGTAGAAGTGAAATTGAGAAAGAAAGAAAGAAAGAAAGGAAGGAAGTCAGGAAGGATTTAGAGTTATCATAGATGAATTTTAAAAACTATTAATAAAATATGGCATGTTTTATAACATGTAGCAAGGAAAGAATATGAACATGTTTAAGCCAGTGAGTTAACATGTCTCAGCCTTCAGAAGCATAAGAGGAAAAAAGCAGCTACCTGAGGTACGGGCTGACTGAAGACCCATCTGCCGTCTCTCCAAATCCCGTCAGCACCAGTGGTGCTCACTGCTATCGGAAGCTGTTGGCAAGTGGAGTGTGAATGTAGTGATCCAACTGGCACATACCAAGAACAAAAAGAAAACCCAAGGGAAGTGGTATTAATTGGCAACTGGTTTGGAGGTCAAGGACTGAGCAAGCAGTGGAAAATGAACTGCCACATTACCCTCTTGGGCAGCCCTTTAAGTTCATGGTAAAGCAACAGGACCCTAGTGATGAAGCCTCTGTAGCTCCCCCAGCTCTATCGCTGTTCTCTGCATGTAGATAAAGTCCCTACGGGTGTAAATATAGTGGCACTGCATTCACAAATATTTAGGAGGAAAGACATTGTTAGAGCACAAATTGTAATGTATCAAAATGCAACTATAAAATCCAGGTTTCAATGAATAGATGCTGAAGGACTGTAGCTCACGAAACTCCTAACAGCACTGGCACAGGGAGCCCTAACAAAGAATGCAGCTAAAGAAAACGCAGCACGCAGGCTAACACGTCTATCAGCTACTCATGGGATTCAGAAGAATAAAGCACTTAAAATCTCTTCTTTTCAAAACAGAGGGATGCCACAGTACAGACCACTCTTTTCTTGCATTCACAGATTTTACGGCACCAGACCTGCAGCTGCTATTCTCTTCATTCAGCCAGACGTGCTGAACAAGTTGGTGATCTGGTTTTACACAGGCTTGCGGCTCACCGGCAACAACTAGAGATGGACTTTAAGAAGCCTGAGGATACAAGCTAACAAAGAAAAAACAGTCAGTTGCCACCATGAGCCCTGGCACTGCAGAATGAAAGAGAAGAAATTAGCACGCAGGAAAAGGCTGAGCACTGGTCAGATCATCATGATTTTCGGACAGCATCCTCTGCTGCAACTACATTAGGCTGCTGACCCACGTAAGAGGGACAACTCTGCTAGCGGTGACGTTCCTAAGGCCTGAAGTACTTTTGGCTCCATCCTATTCAGTTATTTATTTCATTGAGAATCACACTGCTAAAAGCCTTCCTACTAACTACAGCACAAATTCAAGATTAATTATTTAGACTAGGATTTTTCTCATGGACAAGTGTCACGCTAACTCTCTGAAAGATCCTTCTTCAAAATAGGTCACTTTGAGGGATAGAACGCCACAATGGAGATCAGGTTTACATAAACGATGTGTGGACAAATAGGTCCAAGTAGATCAGCAGGCCTAGATGTGCAAAGAAGGAAAGCAGGATTTATGCCCTAGTCTTTTTACAACTAAAGAATAATCTTCCCCTGACGTGACATTGCTCTGCATACTAGGGGATTCTCTCTGGTTCACACGTTGTTAAAGTCAGCATCCCAGAAAGATATTTGGTTAATCTTAAACCTCCACAACGAAACATACCCTACTATGGCTCTAGTTGTGCATATGAAGCGCCAATCACAGCCTACTAGGGCAGAAAGTAATAAAGAACCTCTGTGAAACCAGCCGGGGCAATCTGCCTCCCGTTCCCACGTCTGTTGTTCACGCCTCAGGCTCCTTCTGCTCTGCTACAGCAGTAGCTTTTCAAAAAAGATGCTGCTTTCTGGGGACTATTGTTAAAGATGCAACAGCAACCTGCTTCTGAAGTCCTGCATTTTCACAATCATTGGCCTCGTAGATCTCATACTTAACTCCTTCCATTTGGTTGGAAATGAAATCTTATTTTCTAGTCCATCAAAACTTACACATGGCAGATGAAGACAGGATGGTGGGGAAAGGGGGAATAGTAATCCAGAGCCAGTCTGTTTTTCAGCAGCTTGACTGTCTTGAAGAAAGCAGATGGTTTCTGGATCTTCAAGGAGATTCCTGACAGTCGTCTTCAAATTCTCCACAATCCCCTTAACTATGTTCTTTCAAATTCTCATTATGAGGAGGTTTCTCCAGACTTAGAAAAGTCAGTCATGTAGGAAAATTACTTCATATGAAGTGAGATATTTCTGTGTACTTAGCTTGACAAAAGGAAATTATCTTTAAAAATATGTTAACCATTTACAGTCAACAGCAAGAGGAGAATATGACATCTAATGGTATGAAATCTGATCCAGTTGCAGATTTGCCTTTCATGAGGAAGCACAGGCTGAATGAACATAGTGTTCTGAAAAATATGCACATAATGGGCCATAAGATTTGACAGCACAAAGACTAGAATATTCATGTCTATGCCTAAGAGGTATCCAAAAGCTGAAAACCTGATTAAACCACCAAAAATATGCTGTGCTGGAAATCAGATTCTTATTAAAAATTAATCATACTAGGCCTATTCATCACTCTCACAGACAACACAAAAAGAAGGCAGCATGAGAGCAATCAAGGCCCTGGTTTGAATCCCAAGCTAGTTACTTTTCAGAAATTGGAATTTCCTATTAGGAATAAATTCTTAGCACACAGATTCCAACAGATTCTTCTCTGTTAGTGAAGGGGTGATTACTGTAGCACCTGAGAGATTTCCTTATCTGTAACTCATCTTCTGTTACGGTGACACGTTAGTACAGAATGTTTTAGAAGGTAAAAAATAGGTGAATATTGAAAATAGGTAAATACGTATCTACTTAGTAAAATTAATTTTTAAGCCCTTGTTAAAAATACCTATCACCACTTCAATTTAATATGAATGACACTAAGGGAACTACCATTTTGTTGGTATTTCCCAATATGAAGCTCATGCCCAAACTTAGGAGTGCAGCTCTCCCATCGATTACTGGCTAATTAATATTAGATTAGCTGCAGTGTTTTCTACCTAGATTTAGGGATAGGAGAAAGTGGGAAAAGCTGACAGCATTTGATTTAGTTATTGATTGAAATGTATGATAAAAGTTCACAATCACGTCTACAGAAGTGAGGCACGGTAAGAATATTTGAGAGATAAATTGTTTTGAAATGTTGTAGTGCTTCAGGAGGAGGCAGCAAGATTGAAATTCTCAAGGAGTTTCTTCTTTCAGTAGTCATTTCTATTACAGGCAAAATATCATAGGTGTTCATTTCTCAGTCCAGCCCTTTGCAACAAAATCCTATACTACAAACAGCACCGAACCATCTTCTCACGTCTCACCTATACCTACACTGACACAGAATTTGTGACTTTTGGTAATTAACTATGCCCTAAAGGACTTGAATACTAGTAATAGTGAAGGTACAGCAACATGAATTTCAGCATGACACGTCTAGAGCTATCTACTTAGTAGCTGCAGGCCATGACAATACAGCTTTACTTCCAGAAGTACCAGAGATGGCTAAACCATCTTTTGCTCAGATAAACGTACACATGGCATTTGCATATTCAAGTGTATACCAGTTCCTATAGGGGTATGTCTAACATGCAGGCACTGCCAATGCTGTATTGTACTTGTTTGTGAATAAGCTGAAAATTCAGTCTCAGAGAGCTGACATTTTCAGCAGCGTTAGGGTCCCTTGGCTGTAAAGCCAACAAAACCACATATGAACAAATAAACAACAGAAAAGGCTGGAAAGCTCCTACTGAGACCTCATGAAACCGCAAGTGAAAAGTGTTCTGAACCATTTATGGTTCACAGTGGATTTGGAATTTTTTGCGTTGTATTTTTTCTTGTTTTGGAGGGGTTACATTACAAACTTGTGTTAAGTAGAACATAAACTCTTACAATATAAAATATAATGTTTGATAACAAGAACTATGCTTTTCTCAAACACAGATGGAAGAACATATGCAAAGGAAACTCCTAGGAGTGTGTTACTGGACATCTGTTATTCTTGGAACAAAAACCGAATCGTTTTCACTCCAGTAACCGTTCAACCAGGGAAAAGTATTTATTTGCAGTGCCACCTGCTGACAGCGTGAGGGTCTGTGCATTTAACCCGATGTACAGACCACATTGCTACGCGCTGCTCAGTTAATCAGTGCCTTGCAACTGAGAGAGGCACGATTCCCAAAAGAGTCATCGCTAGAACCCCAGTGCACCATTTTGAAAGTTTACTTCCAAGTTATTTGCACTTATCTACCTGTCATTGCTAAACTGATTGGATAATTTACACTCTTTTTACAAACTGGTCTTACACCTAAAGCAATAAGGCTGAAGTACTGTTGGGATTTTATTCATTTTTACTGTTAACTAGCAGTGCCATGGCAGTGACCCAGCACACTTGAAAAGTATATTTTAAAAGATGTTCATGGATTTAATTGGATTGTGGATATGGTAATTATCTAAAAAGTAACACATAGTATAGAAGTCTATTAAAGTCCATACCTTTTTCTCTCACTTTTCCAAGCAGAGGATACTGTAGAATACAAGAATGCACTGGGCCAGTCAGACAGGGTTAAAACAAACACATACAGTATTTTTAAAAATATTTGCAATAACAGAACCAAACACCAACACACAGCATCACTTTTTTTCAAAAAAGCTGAAAAAGAATGGCATTTTATTACATTCTGAATATGTAAACAAAGCAACAGTCTGACAGGAGATTCAAACAAATAATTACTCAGGAAGATGTGAGTATATTTAACAATGCACAATACAAAATGCTCTTTTGAAGGATTTGGATAGAATAGGCCGGATAGACTAAAAAGACTTCAGTGACAATGAACCTGGTGAAGTACCACACTCCACACACTGTACTGGAACCTCCTCAGCCCTTTTAAACTCTGTAGAATATGCAGGGAAAGGGCTAATGGTTCTACCATGTTTAATTTTCAGACATCTCTTCTGGCATTGCAGAGAAGCATAACTGTTTTTGAGTTTATTCTAGAACTTAACAAACAAAAGCAGTTCATCCAGGCTATGTCTGATCTCAGGCAAACTGAAAAAGATGTCATCCACAGCACCCAAGTGTGATTTTAAATAATCTGGTAGGTATGAAAAACTAAAGAATGGCATGGCAACAATATCCAACAAGTTATACTATTCTGAGAGTAAAAGTAATCTACCTCAGCCACAAAGAGGGGAAATTCTTCTGGCAGAATCCAGGATCGAGGATAGAAGTTATATTCAAGAGGAAATAGATCTTGCATTGTTCGCACTGCCCGACTCAGTGTAATTTTACGTACCATCTCCGTCATGCCTAGGAAAAGAACAGACAGTGTCTAAATGTGATGAAAAATCCGCACTGAAGTCTCATCCTAAAAGTAAATTGTTGTATCTTTACTTACCCTACCGGTAAGGTACTCTAGTCATTGCTTTCAATAAAGCTGAAAACCTTTTAAAATTTAAAATCTGACAAAATATTTGTAGCATTCCCCTGCCATATTTCATATTGTATGTATTACTGTATCATACTAGAAAAAAAATATCAAAAATACAGCTCAGAATAATAGAGGGAAAGCTTTAGTCAAATAGTAACTACTGTCTTTGCCATAATCCAAAACTATTCCGTAGCCTGCTATCGTTCCAGGAATAGGTAAAAATGTCATCTAAATATAATCAACCACTTTGTGTTTACTTTGCATACATTTAAGTAACTACGTCAGAAAGAACAGGTTATTTTGTGAGCAGCCAAACTTAGCTGCTTTCCTGCAGCTTTGAATCTCATGCTTAGATCATGCCATGTCCAGACCTGAGAGCGCTCCGGTAGAAGCTTTTCCCAAGATCGGGGCATTCAGGGTTACTCTTGTGTTGTTTATATGCTTTCAGATATTACAGTTTATAAGGTTCATGCTGCAGCTTCTTTCTCAGTGAGAACATAATCTGCGGGCTTCTTCCCTACATGGTCAGCAAATTTCCACAAAACCTGCAGCAACTCAGCAGTCTGTGACTGCAAACCTCTGTCGAGTGTGGTTAGTTTTGGCCAGGAGGTTCCAGAGGTACAAGGAGGACAGAAAGTGACAGGGAACAACACACACACATTTGCTGAAGTCTTATTTCCATCAGGAACATGACTAAAAAGCTATTTTTATGGAAAAGTTTCTAAGTCTTCCTGACGACCAACCCTTTCAGACTCTTTGAATCTCTCACAAGTAACTAAGCAAAGCATCAAGATCTCTTCTTCAAGAGAAAGAATTCAGTAAAACCCAGCATTAGGTTAGCACAACATTCCTGGAAATCAAGTCTAGTTCTGAAGGGCTCTGGTTTTGACTACTATGCAGGCCACTTACCACGTAGGAGCCAGAATACAGCGAGGGTAACATTCATCTAACAGATTTAAACCGCCAGAAAACTACATCATCTGATACTTGAATGTGAACTTCCCACAGACAGGAGAAAGTCAGAGTAAATAAAGCATAAAGCTTGATATCGGAGGGTTCTTACTCTCACAGCATACTAACAGCAGCAATAAATCTGAAGTAAAGGGCTTAGATAAGTCAATACCTAAGCTCTTAGCTCTTATTTGGAGAGATCTCAACAGGGATTAAATGAGAAAAAAGGGAGCTTAAAAAAGTAAAGGAGTCATCATAAGATGAGGGCTGACATGAACTCTTCAATATTAAAAAATCCATTTGAGGAACTCCGCTTTGAGCTTCTCCCTGAGATAAGCCAGAGTACGAAACAAAACAGGTTCTTTCCACTTTGAATCAAAACCAAATCCAAAGACACAGCACTGCTATCAATGCTAGATAACAGACAATAATTGCATACTTCACTTAAGTTATAGCCTAACACTCTTATTTTTCCTAAATTCATACATATGAAGTATTCTTTTCATCAAAACCACTTTCTCTCCAAAACAAATTTCAGTTCAGAAATTGTTCAAGACACCCATTCTGATATTCTTACCCCCTAAGCAGAAATCACCTACCAAAAATGGTAACATGCTAAAAATACTATCAGCTGATTAGGTAGATAATTCACGTTAAAAAACAGTAAACCACATAAACAGTTAAAATAATCATGGTTTTAAAGCATTTGTTTAGAAACATAAGTGAGGTACCTGGAAACTTGTTGACTTGACCTGAGAATATATCATTATCATGAAATGATACCCCATGCCAATAGATATCGCATGGCAAGCGTCTGCCAAAAGGAAACTGGAAAAGAGACAGGAGACAAGTTTTGAAGCAAACTGGCAATACCCATTCATTCCTTACTTTACTAAACGCTCATATTAAGCATAAACTAGTCAAGACCAATCTTCTGACTGTCAAAAGAAAACATGCTCTGTATTTTGGTTGCAAACTAAGAATATTTTGATCAGTTCAAGACTCTATAAAGTTCAAGATGTTAACAAACCGTGAAAGGTTTCTAGAAACTAAAAACAAATGACTGAGAGGCATGATCTGTACTGAGGAACTCCGAGCTTGTTATCAACCACAATTAAGGCATGGCTCATTTGTAATTTAAAATACTATTACAGGGAATAAAATTTCATTAAGAAGCACTTAATTCCGGCACATGAAGGCACAGCAATAGCAAGTGCTACAGCTGGGAAGTAAACAAACTCTGACAGTGTTTTGGGTTGGGTTTTTTTTTCCCCTCCCCAGTTTAAGGGGTGATAAGCAACCATCAAAGGAAAAAAGCACTAGAGATCATGGAGGAATTGTCATTACTGGCAGTTACTAAATCAACTTCTATTCTTAAAAAGATCACCATTTCATGCCGAGAGGCTCATGGCTTGTATTTGTGCTCCTCCTCTGCAGCTTGGTAACCCAAATCCCTTTCCCAGATTGCACCCGTACCCGCGGTGGCCCTTTACCCCCCCAACCATGTGGCATCTCCAAGTGCTCCCAGCCTAGCATGAGCAGGAAACATTTCTACTCCCTAGAACTTTATTTCAAGGAATACATGTAGTTAGTAATATTGTTGTAAATTAATAGTAAGTTGTAACTGCAAAGCACTTTCTGAGCAAGCTGATTTACATTGGTGTCCAAGCTGCAATGAATTTAAAATGGATATTCAAAGCAAGATATTTAAGTGAAATAACTATATTATTCATTTATATATATTCAGTTATATTTATTAATTTATACAGTATTAATTCCTTCCTGGTACTAATAGACTGTAATTAAAAGAAAGGCTTACAATTTAATTAATCGTTTGTTGAGCATATATATTTCAACTATTAAAGACTAAGGCAATTATTTCAACAATATTAAGTATTCCAACAACTTAAGAGCTTCTCTTCCCATTCACACAAGATTTCACTACAAATTGGAAAACTGTATAGTTTGTTTTCTATTATCAAAAAGATCAACCTTTTTTTAAGCAGTCTGAAGAGCGCTGAAACAGTGCTGCCAATTACTGATAGGAACAGTTTCTAATAGTAGTAAAGTAGTTTAAAAAAAAAAAAAAAAAAGGAAAAAGCTACCAGCAGTAAGAACAAAAGCCCCATGAATTAGCAGCACCAACAATCCAAAGCAAAAAAATTACTAAGTTAAAAATCAAACATTTATAACCCATGTTATAATAATAATAAATAATTAGTTTTGTGTAAAAAAGGTAGTTTTTTCCACACTTGTTCTCTTAGACACAGTCCCATTTATCAATCAAAAAACACGTTTTATCTGCAACTCCATGTAGATGCCTTTTAAATACCATATGGAATACATTCACAGGAATCTCTTCTATTATTAGGCTACATCTTTTTCAAATAAATATGCAATATTTCTGACCACAGCATTTTTAGGACACATTTGTATTAAATATCTATCACCCTCATCACCCGACAACTTCAGTACCATTTACTTATTGAAAGAACCACAGTATTTTGCAGAAACTACTTGTTCTGTACTCCAAATGTAATTTTTCTTGCTTTAAAGCATTGCTTTAAGCACTGGATTTTTTTTTTCCCAATGTGACAGAAAAAAGAATCTCATAAAGCTTTTGAGTGAATTACTTTATTTGCTACTTTAATTAAAATTTCAGTTTCCTCAGTAAATAGCCTTGAAAAATTAATTTTAAATGCTAATTGAGCAATGCATCCTTTCTCTGTTTCCTTACTCACAGGGATGAGATACCCAATTTAACAGAGACAGTGGATTCTTCACTTATTTCATTATTATTCAGCCTGCAAAATCTGTTTTTGTACAAGTGAAAATTAATTCTGTTAGGCTCTGAAAGACAATCAGTGGCCTTAACCTCTCTCCACAGGTATATCCAGAATACAGATGCAGTATTAGGTCTCAGAGCGTCCTTCCCACTAAAACCTGAACCATTTATTTATTTATTTATTAAATGAAATTTAAATGAAAGGAATGAAATTTGCATTTATATAACACCTTTCATCTACAGAGGATATCTAAGCACTTTATAAACACTGCACAGAAATCATTTCAGAACAGATGAAGAGTGAGCAGCTCTGGACCGGAAAATGGAAGCATCGCACCCCCACATCAGCGATTCAGATAGCACCACAACTTTCCTGCTCCTGACAAATCAAGATTATTTGGATTTATCCAACAACGGGATCAAACTCACCTCCTGAACGAGCTGGGAAGGACTCTTTATCGTCCGCACTATACTCCTACATAAGAATATTGTTTGGAAAGGAACAAACAAGTTTGATTATTTGGCTCCCTCTGGCAGTGCCAGGCAGATATAAATTAATCTTATTGTGGTAGAAGAGGCCTTTCCGTCACCTCCCCAGCTCCCGGTGCAGGGGACTAGCCAAAAGAAAGGTGGATGCTTGAAGCAGTCCTCTGTTCCCGTAACAACTTCTGTCTACAGCTACCCGGCCTCAGGTGGAATAGCCCCGGGTCTGCACTAACTGATGCCAAAGCCAAGGTGCTCACAGCCTGGGGACCTGGGGTGCCCACAGCTGCGAGGGACGGAGGTTGTAAGCGTGGCTGGAGCCGTCCTTGCTGCTGTGCCCATCCTGGGCAGAAAACCCGAGAGTCTGGTCCTAGGATCGGTCACTGCAAACAACTTTCAGGTGGCAATTGATTCACTAATTCTTTGAAGAATTTATTTAAAATCTTTTTTATTCAGAGTTGGGAGGCATTTGTCAGAACAAAAAAATAAAAAAACCAGGAGCCACAAAGAGAACAGAGTTGTTTTCACAACTTTGACACAATTAAGAATCAATCACAGTCAAATTGGTCTGACAGGTCATTTCTACCTTTTGACTGGAAGCCAATAATTTAAATTGTCTCACGGGTCACATCAGTCTGTTCCATCATGTTTAATGACAAGTTAAATGACTCTTGTCTTCTAGTCAGCTTTTCCCAGCGTAAAATTTCAAACTAGTTCTACGCCTCCATGCAGCTACTGAACAGCGAGACAAATGAAACACTTAATGCTGGGATATTTGATGCCCGAGACATCTGCTTCTTCCATTTTCCTGGTAATTGAAAGCTAGCCGAAGAAATAATTTATTAAGCGATGAATAAACTCAGGATGCAAGCTCAATTTGTGCCCATTATTTCATTTGGCATATCATGTTCATTTAAAGAATCTGACACACTAAATCAGATAGTCCAATCTAGTGATGGGAGTAATTGCTTCACTGGCATGCACATTAAAATTCTGCAATGCTTTTTAAAAGGTCCACCCCTGTGCGTTACCCCAGACAGGGCTATCATGGTTGATAATTTAATTTACTCAAAATTCCACAGCTGAAAAAAAAAAAGGAGGGTTTTTTTCTGTCTTTTGCTTCCAATAACAGAATCTCAATAGTCAAATTGCTCTCTCTCGAACTCTTTCACCTCTTCCTCATATATCAGTGCCATAGAATAAACTGCTTACCAATATTAGCCCTGTGTAGAATATTATTCCTTTTTTTTTTTGTCTTATAGTGGCATTCACCATATGTTAATTTACTAGAATGAACCACTACCACGTGGACAACTCTAATCACACATTGCGTTATGTCTTACTTTGACAAGTTATCAGGGAGCATATTGCAATAATAGATTATTACTGAAACAAAGCTCGTCCAGCAAGTCAGGGTAACTACAGCAAGGAGATTTCAGAACGTACAACTTAAAACAAAAAACAAACCAAACCAAACGCCTATGTGACACTGCAACAATGCTATCCATTAGATAGAAAAAGTTATCGATAAAAAGAAGCCCACTTTAAAAAGCCTATTATGATATCTCTTGCCCAACAAAATATTCAAGCCAACACATCCAGCAGCAAACAGAGAACAGAAACAAAACAAAAGCAGCAATGGGAAAAAATGTAAAAGAAGTGGTGAAGGAGAAGAAGGATCAAATATACTAAATCAAAGCCCAAAATGCAATCACCTTGAAAAGTATTATACAAGGGACAACAGTAGAATAACAGCCCCTGAAACATCAGTATTTAAAATATATGCATTTCATTACTACTACTAAGTTTTTTTCCGCATTATTTTTATGGATCCTACAAGAAACAACATATGTGTTCCCTCTGCTGGTCCTGCTGTAACAGTGAAACTACTTCCAAGGCTCTTTGGCCATCAATGATAGTTGTTTAAACAAATACTTCAGTGCTATTTTCCTAAACATTTGAAAGGGAGAGCTTTCAAAATTATATGCAACTTGAATAAAAGAGTTTTCCCTAGATTTCTCTTCTTAACGTTGTTTATTTTTCTCTTCAGATCTAGACAAGATCTTGCCTACTGATTCCCTGTCTACTGAAGTCTGCTAGCTTGAAGTCAACAGTTTGTCTTGCTCCCATCCTAGAAGACTTTCCTCTTCTTATTTTCCCCAATGTAAACAGTACTAGCTAAGAGTCATAGCTAATGTTAGTTCCCCCAAAAAACTAACATAAGAAAACCAAATTTGACATATATACATTGATGAGAAAATACTTTCTTAACAAAAAATAATGTCACATTCATACATATTAACCTCTATTATAATAAGCTGAAAAATTTACAGAAATACATTACAGTGACTTGCTTACAAGGAATGAATTACTAGCCACCTAGACAGTACGGTCAAATGGCACAAAACTCTGTATTTGGTCTCTTCTTTATTAAGAGTATGAAATGGCCAGAAGGGGAAGCAACAGACTAAATGAAAAATACTGGCTGAACTAACGGATAGAGGAGAAAGGATATTGAGGGAGACGGTAAACAAGGAAAGATGAAGCAAAGCCAAAAGCGATTGCTGTTGTGGGATGCAGAGCAGGAAGGAGAACGCTGATAATGCAGCGCAGATATTCAAGAGAGGAACAAGAGCACATGAAACAAGTAATTTGTAGGACAGAATACCAAGCGCGGAGAATCCAGGGGATAAGATATGCAAAACAGTAAAAGCTTAGGAAACAGAAAAGCCAAAATTAACCGGTAAGTATGGCTCATTACCAACATAATCTGTGAGGCTAACTTAAATCAGTAATTCAGAAACACTCACTGGAATGGCACCAGGCACTCTGAACATAAAACTCAGCCATAAGAACAAAGAAATTAAGCATGAAGTCCCCCTTGCTCTGTGTGTCACCGAGTAAAACACGGAGCGAGGCTGCTGACAGACACTCCACAGGTGCACTGAACAGTAAAACAAGTAAGTGTAAGAGGTTTTAATTTCACACCTCTGGCATTTCGTTACTATTTTGCCGTAAGAGCAGGAGTTAAGAACTGGAGCTTTTGTGCAATGACATTTTGAAATTCTCCCGCTGGATTTAAATAACAAAAATCTTGAAATAAAATTTTATGAAGACAGAGAATGAGAAGGCATTACTCTTCCTGGCAAGGAGCATATATGTCTTCGTGATATTAGGCATTTAGGACACTATGAATAAACACAGGTAGTATTTACTGCCACTCAATCCTCCAGAAAATAAATCTGTAGCATTTAACTCAGGTTAGGAACAACACAGAACATACTATCTACCCCAAGTCTATACAAATTTTGTTAAAAAGCATCAGGTGCGCAGAAATATTAGTGTCTTGTGAGCGGGCATCCCAAAGGCAGCTTTGTAACATGGAGCTGCTGCACCCTAGCTCTGCACATGAATAAACAGTTCATCCTCAGGTTTTATCCTTCCACTTTATGTCCCCTCCAGCTTCCCTCTTCCAAACGGATTATAAGTACCCTTTCTCTTACAGAAGTTCCTCAGAAAGCTCCTAGAAGCCATCTCAACTTCTGTAAAGCCATTTATAAAGTTATTATGGAAAGAAAAGTCTTTACAACTTGAGAACAATTTAGCATCTATAACAACATATGTATTAGAAATCTCTTCAGGATTTAAATAAGGAGTTCCAAAGCATCAGTTTTATGCCAGCTCCCATATTGTCATGACTCCAGTTCAGCATAGACAGGTAGACACTGAACTCCTCACAAAGCACAGAGAAAACATATGACTCAAGCTGTAGGAAAAAAAAAAAAAGCCATACCTTCTCTACATACAATAATTTAGAAGGCTAAAGCCTGTAACGCATGCTTTATTAGGTGGTTTAATATCATTTCATTCATACACAATGCTATGACATGCCTTCAAGATAATCTGTGATGCAGAGGCTTTGCCATCGGATCAGACAGCTGATCCGTCAGGTCATACTTTTTTGTCCACTGTCATGAGCCTTATTTCACATACCCATACTATGAGGGAAGGGTGAAAGGAAAGAAATGCAAATTGACACAACGTGCCAAACATTTCTACATAGGGGCAGGTTTCTTTCTTGCCCTTTCTAGTGATCAGTTTAAGCTTTGAAGCATAATATCCGATTACCCCTACTTTGGCTTGCATAACTGGCAATGGCAGTCCTGATCGTGAGTCAGATCAGCCTCCAGATTTGACATCTAATTAGGAATAACCCCAACGTCGAGATGACACCAGCCGGGACGAGCCCCCGGCTACAGGCGCCCGCTTTGGCGCTGGTTCAGGGAGGCAGGAGGAGGAGGAGGAGGAGGAGGAGGAGCTTTGCCGGCGGCAGACCCCAAGGCAATGGAGGGGAGGTTTCCCCAGCACCGCCGGCAGAGCAGCGGGAGGAGCGGAGGGGAAGGCCGGAGCTGGGGCCACCGCTAGGCCGGGCGCGG